GGTATTGCGTTACATACGTTAGATTTTTGTGAACACGGAAAGCTAAAACAACACCCTAGGACTACCAGTCATAGCTATGATATGGTGGAAAAGATATTTTTAAAAAATTATTTAAATGAAATCAATTAAAAATTAAATATTGCGCTTCTGTAGAAAAAGAAATAACCAAAATAGTGGGTTTTCAGGACGATTTCCAAGATTCAGCGTAAACCTGGAGCAGCGTAGTTTTGCACACACATTTTTTATATCTTTCCTTTCAAACCTAAACATGAACAATAGTCCTGCTTTTCTACTGCTTTTGACAAAAACTGGTTTCTATTTTTGCTCTGCTTCTTTTGAACGCTGCAACCAATAAGACATTCACAATATGTACCATGACTACAGGTGGAATTCCTCTACTAGGCTGAAAGTCTTTTTAGCAAGAAATTATTTGTGATCGAGACTAAGAGTCACATCTAGATGCCATCAGTCATCATGGTGTGCTATAGTCCTCGAAGAATAATAACTGACCTTTATTCACTGACTCTGTGATTCATTAGCAGGGTCAGCTGCCAGGTTGGTAACAGTTATGAATTATAACAAACTTGCACTGTATTGCTGGGAATAGGAGATACTTTCTGATGAAAGTAGTATACACTTAAAATGTAAAAACAAAATGGAGAGCAAAAAGGACAGGCCTGTTTTGCTTTCTAAAAAAAAGCAATTCTCCAAAAAGGGAATAAAATACTAGAACTACTTAAGTTATGTTATTTGTAAATGTAAATAAATTATTTTAAAAAAGCTATTGCTTGGTAGTGAGGTTAGGGTTAGGATTGTGTTCCAAAATGGGCTTGACCGGTACCTGAAATTATGCCCCAAAATATGGATAGTTTCTATAGATTCTATGAGCGATTAAAATACTTTCAGATGTTTTCAAATAGGCATTGATTTTGATTTTTTTTTAACGTACTGTAGTTAGAAAATTTAAAAAGTATCAGTGAATCAGGATTTGCCTACTTTTATGTTTGCACAGAATTCTCCATAGAATTACAGAATCTAGATTAGGGGTCTCCAACCTAAAATGCCACCCAACTCCCCACACCAGTCAACCACAGTACAATCGTTGTGCAAAACCCCAGTTGCCCCACCGCTATGTTCTCCAGAAGTTCTTGATGCCTAGCTTTACTTTCCCATTAACCCAACCATTTTTCTCCTGCCTGCTCATGAGGCATGCCCTATTTGGACAAAGAGTGGACCATGTGACTTGGGAGAAGTAGCCTCAGGAGGAAGACCTGGTGTAGCCAGCTACAAACTGATAGACACAATAGCCTGATTATATATTGGTAAATTGATATAGATTGAATACTGACTTTTGATTTTTTTTTCCAGGGTTACTACAGAATCGGTGAAAAGAAGGTGTTTTAGTAATTGACTACAGAATTTATCTGCAGCTGACAAACTGATGTACAATATTTCAAAGTTTTATATTTCAATAAAAATATATAAAAATTGAAGATTAATTTCTCCTTAATTATTTGGGCATCAGATTTTGAGAGGTGAAATGAAATTTCCATGTTCTACAACTTTAGTTGTCAATATCCTGTTTATTTATAAAGTAAGATGGTGTTTAAGACATTATTATTTATTATGGAGAACCAGTTTGGTGTAGCAGTTTAAGGCATCAGGCTAGAAACTGAGACCATGTACCCCTTCAGGCACAAGGCAAACTGGGTGGCCTCGGACCAAATTTTTTCCTTTAGCTCTAGAAAGGAGGCAGTGAGGAATAGATAGAAGAAACTGCAAAGTTCAAAGCTTATAAATATATATCCCACAATGGTTCCCCTGAAATTAGTATTTGGAAGTGTGCTACCCTCAGTGTAGTATGCGTTTTCAAAACTAATAGCCCTTGATATATTTGTTTTTCATGAATGTACTCGGCTGTCTTATAATCTTTCAAGATAGTCTTGTAATAATAACTTTTCCAGGTTAGTAGGGCACAGTAAGAATTGCTCTGGTCTGTTCAAAAACTTGTCCATGCTGGACATGATTTCATGTATCTCAAGTCAAGTGTGTATGCCTTGCCTTAATTCCAACTGGGAGTTTAACATTCTAGCATTTTCCTCATCAGATAATAATAGCACTTAGACTTAAGACTGCTTTACAATGCTTTACAGCCCTAAGCGGTTTACAGAGTCGGCATATTGCCCCCAACAATCTGGGTCCTCTACCAACTGCAAAGGATGGAAGGCTGAGTCAATCTTGAACTTGATGTTCTACCCTCTTGACTAGGTAACAAGTTCTTTGGTTAAGGAAATCTGCAGATACAGGATGAGGGTTACTTGGCTTGGCAATACTGTGTTTCTCATATAATAAGGCCGGGTCTTTTTTTTTTTTTTTGAGCCCCCAAAAGACCCATCCGTGGACAGGGAGGCAAGGCAACGGCCTGCGCCATGTCCTCCGCTGAGCTGAGCCCGGCCAAGTGAGCGCCGATGCCCGTGGTGCAGCATTTGGAGCTGCCGGTGCATTTGGAGATGTGTGAGGACAGGGACGGGCTGGGTGAGGTGGAAAGGACGGGTGGGTTTGGGCTCCGCCGGACCCACTGGCCAGGGAAGCAGCACTGCCGTCGCCTCGCCTCCCTGTCCACGGACAGGTGGGCACTATCACTGCCTCGGGCAGCCTCTCCCGGTGGCTCCTTTGGGGTCGGGCTGGAGGGACTTGGGAAGCCAAGCTTGGGTCAGCCCGGCTTTTGCTTGGCAGGCGGGTGCGCACCTGCAGCTCACTTTCCCGGCTCTGGCGCGGCCCTGGCTGGATGAGCGGAGGGCCCAGTGGGGAGGCACTCGCTGCCTTGGCCAGAGTTTTGCCGCCAGGCAGGAGGGCCCGCCTGTCAGCTGCACTGGGTGCCCCAGGTAAAGCTCTTCGCACTCTGCCTGGTGCCAGGCAGGGGTGGTGGCTGGGCGCTTCTCCCGGGGTGGGCCAATCTTACGCTGTGGCTCCGGGAGATTTGCCTCCCCATGTGGGGTTGGGCTGCCCTCTCAGGCAGAGGAGGCTTTGTTGTACAGGTAGTAGGGCGTCGTTTTTAAAAGAATAGGCTTTGCCTTCGAACGATGCCCGGGAAAGCGGCGCCAGGAGCACCTGAAGCCGAATGTCTCCACCAGGCTCCGGTTGCAGGGAGGAGCCCTGGCTGGCTGCACGTGGCTGCGCCAAACATTGCGGCTTTGCTCTAAATGCCACAGCAGCACGGGGAAAAGGGAAAGCAACGGTGGTGGAAGTTCTCCTGATATGAAGTGCCCCACCAACGCCGAGGTCAACACAGGCAGCACCATATCCGGGTGTGCAACAAAAATACTTCCTAATGGCAAGCCCCCCAACCATTCCCCCCCATTTCACATGCTTTAATATAGGCCTTAATTTGGGGGGAGGGGCTTAATTTCATTTCATGCCTATAAAACATGTTGGGACTTCCTATTGGGGGAGGCCTTATTGTTGGAGAAACATAAGTGTCTATACAATCCTAAAATCGTAGCTAATCAGAAGTCAGTAATGTTACACTAATTGCAAAAAGACAAGTTTTTTTTCCAACAGTAGAATTATTTTAAAATTATAGAAAATTAATTGCCCTTTGTATTCTGCACTGGTCATCGCCTGTAGTATTCTTACATTCTGGGCACATCACACTGGATCCATATCACTAATAACCTAGTTGTATTTTCCTAATGGTCTGTCAACAGTTACCAACTGGTTAAAATCATTATTTTGGGGAATAATATGCAACCCCTTTGACCAGAAAGTGCTAATATCCCAAGTCATTATATATTTGTTTTCTTAATCTGCTACAGATCACGCATTTATATTTTCTCACAAACTTTTGTTATAACATTCCTATTCCTTAGCAATTCTGTGCTTGTTTCTATTTCCTGTCTTAATCTACAATCTTCCTATTAACTATAAATTTACAACTTTATGTTCTACATCAACATTCCTGTTTCTAGTTCTGTCTTAACTTTTTCAGTCTTTCCTTTTCTCCCCAAGAAGTCCAGTTCTTGCAATAGCCAATCTCAGTCCATTTGAATGTGAAAATGCTTTTTTGCTCTTCTGGCCTTGCGAAGATTCTCTCTTCCACCACCACCCCATCCCTGCCTTTTCAGGAACAGATTTGTGAATTCTGATTCTGAGTTGCTACACACTAGGCTTGCAGGCTGATTCAGACTCTTGCTCTTCCCACTCAGCTCCCTCAGCTAGTCTTGCCATTTTCTTTTGCTGTAGAAAGACCGCTGCTGAGATATTGCCTTTGTGTTCTTTTCCTTTTCTGTCATCTCCTGGGCTTGCCTCCTTTCTTGCTTTCTGTTCCGTTTTGAGAAGTCTCCAATTAGAGATGGTGGTATCATTTCAGCCCTCCTTCCCATGTAGCACCAACATCCAAACCCAGGAGAGAAATGTCTGCTCATTCTGAGTGGAGTGTTCATTCTTGCACACCTCACTAGCTTCTTCCCCCCATTAACTGGGCAGATTGAGATGGCTACAGCTGTACTATTGTCAAGACATTTGATTTGCCTTGGATGCAGCTTTGCATTCATAATATTTTTTCAGCTTTTTCTCTAAGGGATAGATTTAATTCTACCCAACACTGTCAATATAGGGTTTAAGATAAGTTGGGGATGTCCTCTACTGCCACAAAACATATAATATTCAGAATAAAATAGCAACGGATAATTGGAAGTGGAATAAAATCCCATGTTAAAGTGGGAAATTGTTTTATATATAAATGACTGGCCAATTTTCTATTATCCCACATGCAAGATAATTAACATAGAATATTCTGCTCTAAGCACTAGGAAAAGTCCTAATTATAATTTTGATAGTGGAATCAATTAACTAGGGAGGTTGTGGTTTCCTAGTTCATCAATGAGAACTCAAATCTGGAAATTGGATTCGTGGCCTAAATGTCATCTTTCAGGTCAACATTTCTTCTCAAAATCAACTTTCTAGTATTGAATATAATTGTGAGAATATTCAGATGAAAAATCGTTCCAACATTTGAAAGTTTATTCATGCCTGAGATTTGAGTTTGCATACATATATAAACTTTTATGCTACTAGAACACAGGCTCCTCCAACTTCCTTGATTTTTTCTTCTGCTCTTCGGCTGAAGAATTTTGCTTTCACAATGACAGGCTGCTTGGGCAGCTTTCCTTTGCCCAGGACTTTGTAATACCCCTGAAAAATATCAAAACAAAAGTTAACGAATAGTCTCTTGAAGTCATTACTCATGGTGTCAATAAAATTAATGGACAGGTGTTTTTAAAATATTGTATATCAATTCTTATAACTGATGTCTTTATGGATTTATTAGGAGGGGGGAGTATTGATCAGCAGTTCTCTTTAGTTTGTGCATACAAGTTACTGGAAGGTTGGCAGTCCAAGATCAAAGCACTACATAACAGAGTAAGTTGCCATTTTGCCCCAGCTCCTGTCCACCTAAGAGTTCGGAAGCAAGAAAATGCAAGTAGATAAATAGGTGCCCCTTCAGTGGGAAGGTGCACCTCGGCATATAGTCATGGACCATAAAATAGTCTTTGGCAATGCTTGTTCCCTCATTTAGGAAATACCAGGTGAGCACTGCCCCCTAGAGTTGGAGACAACTTGACAAGGGAAACCTTTGTCTTTTAAAGCATAATTGTATTTGAATAAGAGTGTACTGTTTCTCATCTTACCCAGTTTCATTTTTGTTGAAGATGACTATTATAGCCCCAAGTTTGAATTCTCATCAAAATCTCGAAAAATGATTACATTTCAATTTGTAAAATCATATAATCTCTAAAGTAAAATGGAGATGTTTGGATCTGGATGGACTTCGCCTTAATCAAGACTGAGTGGGCTATGGCTGTTTGCCCCGCCTCCCCCAGGGTTGAGGATATTTTTATCACTGGTATTGGATGGATAAGTTACTCTTCTCCATTTAAGACTGATGCACAACTTGGGTGGTCCTCTTGGATTCACAGCTTTTGCTTAACGGCAGCTATGGCCAGAAGGTCCTTTACATTAGTCTGCCTTGTGCACTGGATGTACCCTTCCCTCAACCAGAAGGCCCTTCAGACAGTCACCTACTTATGCCTCTGTCAGTTCACAACAGAACTGTTACAATGTGTTCAATGTGGGACTGCCCTTGAAGACCACCCAGAACCTAAAGCTAGTTCAAAATGCAGTGGTAACACTGCCTATGTCATCACTGCTATGTGAGCTGCATTGGCTGCCATATGGATCTGGGTGCAATTTATGCTTGTTACCTATAAATCCATTCCTAACACGGGGCCTGTTATCCTAGTTAACAGGCGCCTATTTGTCTCGATATGTTTGGGTAGAGCAAGTGCATTCAAGGTCTCCTCTATTAAATATTGTCATCTTGTGGGACAAGTAAGTGTGCTTTCCCTGTTGCTGCCTCGTCCTCCAGAATATCCCCCAAAAGATACATCCAGTGCTCACTCTCCTGGCTATAGAAGAATGTTAAGATCTGGTTCTGTTCCAAGGCCTGGGATGTGTGTGTGTGTGTGTGTGTGTGTGTGTGTGTGTGTGTGTAGATGTCATATTTGTATTGCTTTTAGTTCAGGCTATGAGCTGCTCATTTACTGGAATGGGCAAACATAATATATATGAATTTTCAAAAAACAGATGATACCACTTACAGAGCGTACAACATCAATAACTGGAGCTAGTCCTGCTGGATTTTTAGCATAATTCAGCCTTGTCTGCTCACTAACAAGCGTCCAGAGCTTATCCAGATTCACTGTTGGGCAGAAGTGCTGGTTTTTTTTCAAGTGGTAATGTCTCATACCAACCTTTCCAAAATAACCAGGGTGGCTAGAGAAAAAAAAATGCATACAAAGTAAATTTACTGGCCAATGCATTATGATACTCACAGGTAACCTTAACTAGAAAATACAAAAGACATCCATCCATCATCTAATTTATTGGCACCCGGCGTAGCACAGGGTATTCTATAATATACAGAAGAAATCCCTTTTGTCTTCAGTTCATGACTTAATGTCATAATAAAGCTTGTAAAATCTTCAACACATAAAATCTAATTAATTATATTAATATGGTTATTACAAACTTATTTCCTGTACTCAATGCTATTCCCCTCCATCTACTATGCCTAGATGCCATTCCTACTTCCAAGTAGAAATACCAGGGTCCATCAATAGCTAGTTACATCATTTCATTTTAGAAAATATGTAATTTCTTAACCATTCAGAACCTTGTTACCAACCCTGGTGGCTGACTGTGTTGGGAAAGAGACAGACAGTGAATAAAGGTCAGTTGTTACTCTCTGAGTACAATAGCACACCATGATCACTGGCAGTACCAAGATGTGACTCTAGTCTCAGCTATTTGTAAGTTACTTCTGATAATAAATTATAAATGACAACTGCGATCCTAAAACTTTTATTAAAGTTTTATTAAAACAATTTTAGATGTGATGAACTGCGCAATTTCCATCACCTGGCCAGAAAACTCAAATAATGAGTAAGTATCATAGCACTGTGTGCAGCTTTGTTTCAGTAAATAGGTAACAAAATATATCCAGGATATGAAAGCTGATCTTGGTTCAAAATGTAGATCTGCTCTTTGTATTCAGAAAACTAAAAAAGGCAGTTATGAGATAAAAAGGGAAAGGAGCTTACTATTTGTCAAAGTTAATTCTATGGTGGTGCATACCGCCAGCATTTCCACGGCCTCCTGGATGTTTTCTGTGTTTGCCTATGACAAACAACAAAAGTTATTAATTGGAATTTGGTCTAGAAAAGTTATTCAGTCTAGAATACTACTTAATTTGTTGATTTTAGCTTTCTTTTAATGCCGGAGTGTCCAGCCTTGGCAATTTTTAAGATTTCCCATGCTGGCTGGGGAATTCTGGAAGTTGAAGTCTACAAGTCTTAAAAGTTGCCACGGTTGGACACACATTTGTTTTAATATAATAATTACCATTTAAGTTTCATTCCAATAAATCATGTAGATACTTTGAATCTGCACAGTTAACACAGCAATCAGTCACAGATGTGAAGACTTGGAATATCTAGACAGAACTGTTTTTGTGTCTTGCCTTTGAGATTTATTATTAATCCTTCTTCAGAGAAGATAGTACAAATGCAAGATACGTTGCATGAAGATGTTATGCAAGCCAATCTACATCAATAGTCAAATCCAACATGAATCTTGACAGCCAAAGATGGAAGCTTGTGGTCTCTTGGAAGTTACAGTGTTGTCAGTATAGATAATAGATAATTCTACCAATTCAGCAGCCTCTAGAAAAGGAAATTTTTTTATTTTGATCTAGATGATATTGCCATCTTCAGTAAGAGAAGCTTAACTGTGAATTATTCCTTGCTTTTTGGTAACCTCTGCTCTAATTTTCATATACTAAAAGCAAGCATCATATATCTGCTGTTCTCTATGTGTATATAAAACTGTAGCAGCAAATTTATTTACCTAATTATACTGCATTAATTGCACTAATTTTCAGGACTGCAATCTAAAACAACCTTCTGATGTTGTTTGGTAAATTATTTGACTACTGAGTAAATATTTTCATGATTAAAAATGTCTCTCCACTAAATATTTTGTATTACAAACAAAATCAGAAAATCCTACTACTGTAATAAAAATATTATAAGGCAGAAAAACATTCATCTCAATTTAAAACACCACAACTCTCAAGACAATACATTCTGAACACGAACAAAATATCCTACATCAGAAGCAAAACAAGGGGCAAATCTGCTTTTTCAAAGGAAGAAATCAAAGACCTACAATGATCCATATTATGAGTGTTCTCCACCCTAACATTTTTAGATGATAGGAATAGCTAATGGGGCATTTGATACTTGTCACAAATTTAAGCACATTCATATGACATCTCACCCTCAGTAAATTTCATAATTTTCCCATACAAGGAATTATTACTGTGCATTGTTTAGCCAAAGTAATAATATAAAAAACATTCAAAAAGTGTGTGTCTTTCCCAGGATTTCCAATTTTATAGCATAAGGGAAACAAAATCTGTATTTTCAAAATTTCCAAAACGTTTATATCACTAGTGCTTACCAATACGGCCATGGCCATGACTGACGTGCCCCCTTAGTTTCCTTGTCTTCCTCAGTCTGGAAGGCTTTCAAAATATAAAAAACAAATTTGGTTATAATAAATGTACCCTATTTTTTGAAAAATCCACCCCCCTTTACTTCGCCCATCTCTGCGGAAGGTTTTCTACAATCTCTATTTATACAAAAAAACAAGATTTTTGCATTGGGTTCGCTTCATTGATTACGTTTTTTTAAAAATAATAATAAGATGCCTGGAGAAAAAACCAGAGGGAATTTGTTTTGGTGGTGGCAGAAGACACGGCTCTCCGATCACTTTCTTTCAGGGAATGGTGGGCTTCGATCCAACCCCAACAAATAATTAAACCCAAACCCAATAACATGAAAAGTGGGTCGGCTCCCGTCCTTCCACGGACATCTAACGAATGTGGCTTCTCCCCCGTTCCCGCCAGCCCAGCCCAGCTCTCCGCCGGGGAAGTCTCCCACCCTCAAGGCAACCTCTCCTCCGAATATGAAGAGACATACAGCCAAAGGGCTGCGCAGCCCCGACAAAAGCAGCAAGCGAAACCCGCGCGGCGTCTCCCTTGCCCGAAAAAAAGGAGCCAGAAACCCCCCAACCCAAGACTAACCACGTTGCTCCCAACCTACCATCTTGCTCGATCGGCGACAAAAAGAACGAAGGAAGTTGGAAGCAACGTCTCGCGAGATTTCGCGTCCCCCTCCCGGAAAAGATCTTTTTCTCGCGATCTCTTGAGAGAGAGAGAGAGAGAGAGACGCTCCCGTTTCCGCTTCCGGTTTCTCCGAAATGGGGCTTTCTTTAAACCTGGTAGCATTTTAGGAATTTTGAAAGAATAAGGCTGTGTGAGATAAAAAAAAATTGTTTCGCTTTCGAGTAATCCTATCCCGTTTTCCTTCCTGTTTTTTTTTTAAATAACTTTTTATGATGGGTTTAGTTGTTGACTGACTAAATAAAACACTAACGTTGGAAGGTGGGATAGAATAGCATAGAATACTTTATTGGCCAAGTGTGATTGGACACACAAGGAATTTGTCTTAGTGTAAATACTCTCAGTATACATAAAGAAAAGGTACATTCCTTAAGAATCAAGAATCATAACGTACAATGATAGTCATAGGGTACAATCAACAATCAAATCATACTAGGAAACAGTCAAGTGGGAGGGGAGGGGTGATAAGGAGGGATGAGAAGATTAACAGTAATACCGTGTTTCTTATAAAATAAGTCCAGGTCTTATATTTTTTTGAACCCTGAAAAAACGGCTAGGCCGTCTTTTGGGGAAGACTTAATTTCGGCCCCCTTGCATCCTCGTCTAGAGCACCCTGTGGGCAGCCTCACCACCAGCTGCTCTTAACGGGTGATCATGGCAGAGTGCAGAGAGCTCCCTACTTCCACCAAACACCTTTGCTGCAGACCCGAGACCTTCGGCGCCCACCGCTGTTGCTTTCCCTTCTGCCCATGCCACCGCCACGTTTGGAGCTGCCGCTTCCATGTTTGGAGCACCACCGCTGTTTGGAGCACCGCCACTGTTTGGAGCACTGCCACTTTTGGAGCTGCCACTTCTGCGTTTGGAGCTGCTGTCACGTTTGAAGCGCTGCCGCCGTTAGAAGCGTCTTTGGAGCGGCGGAGGTGCCAAACACGGAAGCGGCAGCTCCAAATGCAGCGGTGATGCTCCAAACAGCGGCGGTGCTCCAAACATAGAAACAGCAGCTCCAAACGCAGAAGTGGCAGCTCCAAACACAGCGGCGGGCAGTTCCAAATGGCAGCGGCGCTCCAAACGTGGAAGTGGCAGGTCCAAACGCCGCTGCGGCATGGGCAGAAGGGAAACAACAGTGGCGGGCGCCGAAGGTCTCAGGTCTGCAGCAAAGGTGTTTGACAGGAGTAGGGAGCTCTCCGCACTCTGCCATGATCACCCATTAGAAGCAGCTGGGTGTGAGGCATGGCTGCCTGCAGGGTGCTCCTAATGGCAAGTCCCCCTGCCCTTCCCCCCATTTCGCATGTTTTAAAATAGGCCTAAATTTGGGGGGAGGGCCTTAATTTAATTTTATGCCTAGAAAATATGCTGGGTCTTCCTGTTGTGGGGGCGTATTGTTGGAGAAACACAGTAATAGTGTATACTTTGTAAATAGTTGAACAATGTTGAGGGAATTATTTGTTTAGCAGAGTGATGGCTTTTGGGAAAAAAGCTGTTCTTGTGTCTAGTTCTGGTGTGCAGTGCTCTATAGCGTCGTTTTGAGGGAAAGAGTTGATGTGAGGGGGTCTGTAAATATTTTCACAGCCCTCTTTTTGACTCGTGCAGTATAACAGGTCCTCAATTGAAAGCAGGTTGGTAGTAATTGTTTTTTCTGCAGTCCTAATTATCCTCTGAAGTCTGTGTCTGTCCTGTTGGGTTGCAGAACCAAACCAGATAGTTTTACAGATGCAGATGATAGACTCAGTAATTCCTCTGTAAAACTGTTATCAGCAGCTCCTTGGGCAGTTTGAGCTTTCTGAGTTGGCGCAGAAAGAATATCCTTTGTTGTACTTTTTTGATGATGTTTTTGATGTTAGGTGTCCATTTTAGGTCATGTGATATAGTAGAACCTAGAAATTTGAAGGTCTCTACCGTTGATACTGTGTTGTCTAGTATTGTAAGAGGTGGTACTATGGAAGGGTTTCTTCTAAAGTCTACCACCATTTCTACAGTTTTGAGTGTGTTCAGTTCCAGATTGTTTCAGTTACACCACGAGGCAAGTTGTATAACCTGTGCGTATCCAGATTCATTGTTGTCTCGAATGAGACCAATCACTGTTGTGCCATCAGCAAACTTCAGTATTTTAACAGATGGATCATTTGAGATGCAGTCATTGATATATAGGGAGAAGTGGAGATAGCACACAGCCTTGCGGGGGGTGGGCTGTGCTGATTGTACAGTGTTGGATGTGATTCCGCCTCACTTCACCTGCTACTTCCTGTCTGTTAGGAAGCTTATGATCCACTTACAAATGTGTTCAGGTACCACTAGTTGGTTTAATTTACTTAGAAGAGTGTCTGGAATTATGGTATTGAATGCTGAACTGAAGCCTACAAAGAGGACCCTTGCGTAGGTACTTGGAGATTCAAGGTGTTGTAGGATGTAATGCAGAGCCATGTTAACAGCATCATCTGTCAATCTATTTGCTTGGTATGCAGACTGCATGGGATCTAACAGCAGATCCGTGATGGTTTTCAGGTGGGAGAGCACAAGCCTTTCAAAGATTTTCATAACTACAGATGTTAGAGCAACTGATCTGTAGTCATTCAGTTCCTTGGTGGAGGGCTTCTTTGGCACTGGGATGATGGTAGAACGTTTGAAGCAGGAAGGAACATAGCACATCTCTAATGATCTATTGAAGATTCAGATAAAGATGGGGGCCAATTGGTCAGCCCAGACTTTTAAGCAAGGAGTTATCTTGTCTGGCCCTGGTGCTTTTCCTGGCTTCTGTCTGTGAAATAGATCTTGCACTTCTTTTTCTATGATCACCAGAGGTTGTGAGCCCAATGGATTGGGGCCAGTTGTAGGAGGCCCGCGCTGTTGTTGGTGTGTTTGAGATGTGGGTTGTAGAGATAGGTGGCTGTAGGGCTGTTAAATTTCTTGGGGATAAATCGAGGTGAAAAGTTTGGCAGTGGGCATAATTTTAATTTGCTTTATTTATAAACAAAAGCGCTTCAAAGAAGACGCAGTGTAAAAGCTCTTCTGCCCTGCTTTTGTTTCAACCCAAGGAATGCGATCCGCTTCTCAAAAGCTGCCTTTCTAAAGTAGTCCGCCACTGCAATCAGACATTAATCGGACATCTCATGGGTAGCCCCTAATTCAAGGGGTCTGTAAATTTGGCAACTTTTAAGACTTGCGGACTTCAACTCCCAGAATTCGCCAACAAGCATTGCTGGCTGGGGAATTCTGGGAGTTGAAGTCCACAAGTTTTAAAAGTTGCCAAGTTTGGAGAGTTCTGCCCCTAATATAATCCTTATTAGTCTTCCACTATTTCATGAATTTCTGACCCTTACGCATCCTTTAGAGCAGTGGTCGCCAACTGCTGGGCCGCAGCCCAATGGTGGTCCATGAGAAAATTTTGGTGGTCCGCAGAGAAATGTCACCCCCCCAAAGCAATTGATTCAGGCTGTGTGGGAACACAAGGCTTGCGTCACCTGTATTACGGGCAACACAAGGTAGTGGGGAGAGGGGGGGGGACTTGCCCCACTCACCCCACGCGCCTGGCCTGGCCACCGGGCTGCTTCTTTCCGCTTCTTCTGCTTTTGGCTGCATGCAAGGAAAGCAGCAGTTTTTCTTTCTCTCCCCCAAAGTTCACCAGGAATGGGTCTTTGGGGCCCTGCAAGGCATCCTGCTCCAAGAGGCTGCGCCAGCAAAGACTCATTTCTGGCGGAGTTTGGGGGAGAGAGGGAAAGACTTCTGCTGCTTCTGCTGCTTTCCTTGCATGAAGCTCTCACTCTCTCTCCCCGTTAAGAGCTGGAAACAGTATCCTCCGATCCCAAATAATGATTGATCAGTAGGAATATGGGGTGGGGGATCTTCCCGCAGACTTTTTTGGGGATTTTCCCATGGTCTCTGCCAGCAGAGACCCTCTGTCTCCCTCTCTCTCTCCCCCCCCCCGCAAGAACAGAGCTGAAAAGCAGGTTAGGAATATGGCTGCCTTGGAGGGGGTGTGGGGATGTGAGGGTCCTGTGTGTATCTTTCTCTTTCTCTCCCACCAATGTCAGCAAGCCACCGTCCCATCAAAATTCATATTAGTGGTCCCCGAGATTTAAAATGATAAGCTTGGTGGTCCCTGAGGTCCAAAAGTTTGGCGACCTCTGCTGTAGAGGACAGTTAATGTGGGTTCCTCGGAAACGCTTAATCCAGGGGTCTTCAAACTTGACAGCTTTAAGACTTGTGGACTTCAACTCCCAGAATTCCTCCTCCAGTTATGTAACTCAGGAATTCTGGGACTGGAAGTCCACAAGTCTTAAACTTGCCAAGTTTAATTGGTTTTGGTTTAATCCATAGTCTGATTTCTCTTAAGAGACCTCTTAAGGCACCTACATTAACTAAATCTAATCCTGTTCCCCGTGTGACTTTTAAAAATATCAATTAAATCATTGCCCTCACCGGAGCGTCAAACAGCAAAAATCTGACTACAGGAATTTACATTGATTGAACCCTCACTATGCCCCATTTCCCCTTCTGTCCATGTGCATGATATATAATGGTAAGTCCTAGCAGGATTGCAGAGGCCAGTCAAGGGGCAAAGTTCAGAGCAGGTTTTGACAGTGCTCCTCTTGCACAGCCTCCTGTACAAGGCTTTAAAATGATTATCACTTCTCTCTAGAACTCGCCTTTCTAAATGTTGACAACTTTAAGATATGTAACTTTTTAACTCCCAGAATTCCCCAGTTGGCCAACTACAGTGTGAACTGTTTGCTCCATTCCCTGCCGGGGGTATACATTTGTTCTTACTATGCATAGTTCTTACCATTAAAGAAACAGAATTAAAAAAGCATTGAGCGTTACTGAAGAAACAAGCAACAAATGCTCAATGCTTCTTTAATTGCCAGGTTTTTGCCTAGCTTTAGATCAAACATTGTGGAGTTGACATCTCGCCTAAAGCTCAGTAAAACTTACTTCTGATGAAATGGATATCTGGCCTTGGCTGTGGCTCTGGTGCAAGTTTAGCAAACTCAATGGCTATCTTACCTGCTCTAAAAAGGGA